CAAAATTTAGTAAAAAATTTAGGGCCCGTTTGATAACCATTTCAATTTTAGTTTTTAGTTTTTAGTTTTCATTTTTTGTGCTAAAGTATAGAGAAAAATGAGGGGGAGTGAGAATGGGAGTGAGGATGAGACCGGAGGATGGGAGGGAGAAGTAACAAAAGTGAAAACAAAAACTTGAAAGTGAAAACAATTTGAAACAGATTTCAGTTTTTAGTTTTAGTTTTACTTTTGTTACTCCTCCCTCCCATCCTCCCCTCTCAATCCTATCTCCACTCTCATTCTCACTTACATTCTCCCTCTTTTTCCTCTATACTCTAGCACAAAAAATGAAAACTAAAAACTAAAATTGAAATGGTTATCAAACGGGCCCTTAATTTTTGAAAGAAATAAAAGACTTGTGGACAATTTATCCACTGCATACAATATAATAAAACTCTAAAGTTCTATCAATCGGCCAGAAAAAATATAAGAATCATTCATAAAAGGTACAGCCCAAAACCTAAATCTGCAAAAATGACAACAACCAAAAAGAGTTTATTGTGTGCATTATGAAGGATTGACAATTTGTAAAAGAAATGGATGAGGGTGCTTCCCAAAACTTGACACTTCTATTCCCATCATAGATTGGCAGCAAGTATAAAATGAATCAAAGCCAAGGGTAGCAGCTTGTGCCCCTAACCACCATAGATCACCACATCTACTTTCCAAGTAATGCCTTATCCTTTTCACTAAGTTGCCAATACTGAACCACCCTTCTTACTCTATGCGCTACCTCCTATCTCACTAGGTGTTCGTTCTTTCCCTCCTCTCTCCATTCCCACATAAGATCCCTCATAAATTCTTCAATCCCTTAACCACTTCAATTGGAATTCTACATAGAAAACAACAGTGATTTGTATCTATCAATGTCTTTTCCAGCATATGCACTTATATGGTGCATTTAGTCTTACTAAATAGGTCTTGGGTTGTTGGGGAATTCGTTTGGGATTGCAGGATGATTTAAGGTTTGAGACATATTTTGAAGGGACAAAAGGGGTTGGTGCTCAAGATATTTGGTTGGTGAAATTTTCTGGGAAGTAGAGGATTTGTGGATTTGCAGGGTTGTTTTAATAGGTGTTTGAGAGTCGAAAGGTTTTTGAGAGTCGAAAGGTTCTCAAAAGCATTTGGGATGTTAGGTTTTTAGTTTAAATAGGTGAAGACTTGGGAATATCAAGGAACCTTTACAGTATGTGAGTGAAGTACAAGCATCTTTTTGTTTTGTAATTTAAGTTTATTAATTGGTTGATGCATGGTGGTGGAGCTTTACCATGTATGTTGATTGTTGGATTTTGGCTCTAAGGTGCTGCAAGAAGTTGTGGTAATCCATGTGGAAGATGAGTGATAGAAAGACAGAAAACCAAAAGGAAGTATCTTAGCAAAAGAAAAAGGAAGAGATAAAGAAAAATAAGAAGTAAAGAAGTACACTCACAAATTTGCAAAAAAAATTTCTTCCATTATTCCAAGAGACATATTAAATCTTCTATAACATTTAGCTGTAACAAAATCTAAATATTTATGTAGGGTTACTGACCATCCTCATAAGAACCAAGACTCTAATTATGAAACTATAAATCATGTGGTCATCATACTAGAAACTTAATATTGTATTTACACACTTAAAATTACGGAACTAGCTAGCAATCTGAACTACTACCAAGTTTTTTTTTTTTAATCTCTCTCTCTTATTTATTTATTTATATTTATTTTTTAAGGCCAAGAAGGCTTCTTTCTTCATGTTTGGTTCTACACTTTAGATCTTGCCTTGTAAAGAGTAAACTTGCTTGGCATAGCTGCTGTCCCCATCCCTAATCCTCCTGTTCTCTTAAGCTGGTTTGATAATCAGGTACCCTACTTCCCCTGTCCTTACTAAAATGGGTTTGATTAGAGGTTCTAGGTTATGTTATCCAAGTATAATTGATTTTGGCTTTTGTTATCCCTACCACCCATAATGAAGCAACAAAGAGGAGAATCTATTGGTTATTACTTATTTCAATTTAGTATTTGGGATGGGGACCATGATGTATAAGGTTGCATACAAGCCTAGGTGAACCAACTTATTTTCTTTTTCCAACTTGACTGGATATGTGAACTGTAGAGGTGCAGCGCTTGAGGGCAGCTTGAGTTCGAGTTGAGCTTGAACAAGCAAGGTCGAGCTCACCTTGAGGGGAGGTCAATCCAAAACTCAAGTTTGACTTCATTTGGCTTGCCTAGCATCATAAACCCAATCAAGCTTGAACTTGAGCTGTGGATCCTTTTATATATGTACATATGGTCATGTGGCTTAAATACCTAAGCTCGAGATGAGGCAAGTACTTGATTGTTGTAGTTCATGATCAACCCAAATATAGAATAGACAACCTCAATCCAACCTTGAAGTTGCGAGCGGCTCAGTATGTGTTTAACATTACCGTGTTCAAGAAGAAAGCAAAGACCTAACGTATCTGCACCTAATTCTTTTATCATGGGGCGACTATAACATGAAAATCAGCAAGAACCAGTGGCATCTCCCCAGTGAATTTTGTAATAAGCTCAAGCAGATTTGTTTATCCTTTTCTTTTTAGAGACAATATGGTGAACTATGTGATTTCTGTTCTTCCTTCTCGGTTCTCTGATTTCGGTCCTTTCTTTCATCCCTTCGATCTATATTTTCGTCTCCTCGATCTCCGATATTCTTCTTTGTTCTACTGTTTCTGTCCTTTATCTCGTCTTTTTGATCTCTATTTCTTCTCCTCGGTCTCTTATATTCTTTTCTACTCTATTGTTTGAGTGCTTAATCTAATACCTACGGGCTGTACTACATCATATGGATTCTGTCTCCTTTTAATGTTCACAACCCCTAATCTCCTAGATGTAAATCGAATATATTTCTTTGTCCTCTGTACTTTCCTATAGCTTGGTTGTTATATAATTTTATTTTAATTTTTCTTGATTTTCTTTGATGACTAATTTATTTCTTTATTTTTATTCTGATACAGTGGTTAGAAACGGAGATAGTGAGACTCAGTCATCTTCGTGATCGAGCTAGTGAAAAAGGGCGTAGGAAGGAATATCCTTATCTTTTAATGTTTAGTACATTTTTGTTCACAATTTTGCTTGGGGTGCCATCTTTGCAATTGCACCAAAAGTTGATGCCCCAAATACATTTTACCAGTATTAAAGTAAAACAATCGTATGAGTTTCTTCATTTCTAGGAAATAGAAACTTGAATTACTTTTTATTATTAAAGATGTTCTTTCTTTGTTGTAAGTGCTACTCTAAGATGACTAGGAATAGGTATGAAGTAATCCTTAACTTCCTTTCACGCTTAGAGAGTGTGTAGAGAAGTTGCAGCTACTGAAGACACCTGAGGAGCGCCAGCGTAGACTAGAGGAAACTCTAGAAATACATGTGGATCCAAATATGGATCCAAGTTATGAGTCTGAGGAAGATGAAGGTGAAGGCGATGATAAAAAACAAGGTCGCATTCAACTTCTTGTGAAATTTTTATACCTTATATTCTCTGGCACAACTATCTTTGTCATTAATTCAATTATTAATAACATAGCTTTCAATTCATGCAGAAAGTTATATTAGACCTACAGGTTTGGGCTTTGGAAGGAAGGGGAGGGAGCCAATCTCTCCACGAAGAGCAGGACCTTCTTCAAATGATTCCTGGAGTGGGACAAGGAATTTTTCCAGTATGAATCGGGAGTTAAGCAGGAACATGTCAAATAAAGGGTTCTTCAACAAAGCAGAAAATACAAGTGCAGCTGGTGAGATAGTAAATGATTCGTGGGGTCATGGAAGAGACAGAGAAACACAGCAAACAAACCACTGGGAGAAGAAACAAAATATTTCAAGTTTAGAAACTGGTGTTAGGAGTACACAGTCTCCGGTACCATCTGAATCATCTCCTGCTGGGGGGTCAGAAAATTCAGTGGCGCATCTCTCCACTGGTGTAGCACAATCTGCAGTCAATGAATCAGAAAAAATTTGGCATTACAAGGATCCTTCTGGAAAAGTCCAGGGACCATTTTCCATGGTACAGTTGCGTAAATGGAATCACACTGGCTATTTCCCTGCCAACTTGAGAGTTTGGAAAAACACTGAGAAAGAAGAAGATTCTATACTGGTAACTGATGCATTGGCTGGAAAGTTCCAGAAAGACCCTTCATTCGTTGACAGCAGTTTTCCAAAGGCTCAAATGGTGCATAATTCACATCTCTCACCTGTACATTCTGGGAAGTCTCAAGGAGCTCTCTTTCAGCGAGGTACAGAAGGCCAAGCTGGAGGAGTAAGTTGGGGATCTCCAAATGAAATTAATTCTTCCTCAGGCAGAGGTACTCCGCAATCAGTTGAGGTCCCCAAGTATTCTTCAGATGGGTGGAGCACAACAAACCTTCCCTCACCTACTCCAGCCCAAACTCCATTGGGTGGGGCAAGGGGGCAAGCTTACGAAAGTAATTGGTCACCCAGCCCTGGTCATCCAGGTGGCTCTGTCTTGGGAGGCAACGGAGTGCTGCAACCTACTGCAGTAGTTACTCCAGAAAGTGCACTGCGAGCTTCTGGAAATGATCGCTCAAGTTCTCTTCCTGGCATTAATGTAGCCCCCAAGTCTGAAAATGCTACTCTTCTGGGCTCTACAACTGCTCTTCGAATGCATGGTCAAGTAACAGGGTCAGCGCCTGTATTGTCCAATGCCTCAATGAATCAAGTAGCTGATGTGAATAACCTAGTTTCAAATCTGCAAAATCTGGTTCAGTCAGTGACTAGTCGTGCTCCTGCCAGCGATGCTCGAGGATGGGGTTCTGGTTCAGTTCCGAAACAGGAAATGACTGCCTCCGGCCCAGTACCTGGGAGTGAATCTCAACCCTGGGGAGGTGCTCCCTCTCAAAGGATAGAACCAAATAATGCTGCTACTGTGCCTGCACAACATCACACCCATGGTTACTGGAATAATGCTCCATCTACCAACAATGCTCCCAGGCTTCTCAGGTGTTCCGCACTCTGATCCTTGGAGACCCCCAGTTCCGAGTAATCATACATACATTCAGCCTCCAGCACAACCACAGGCACCTTGGGGCGTGGGAGTTCCAGATAACCAAAGTGCTGTGCCAAGAACGGGGCAAGAGAATCAAAATACTAGTTGGGTGCCAATGGCAGGAAATCCAAACGTGACCTGGGGAGGACCAGTGCCTGGTAATACAAACATGAACTGGGGACCTCCGAGTCAAGGTCCAGGATGGACTGCACCTGGCCAAGGTCCCGTACCTGGAAATGCAGTGACTAATTGGGTCCCACCTGGTCAAGGACCACCATCGGTAAGTGCAAATCCAGGTTGGGCTCCACCTGGTCAAGGGCCAACTGTTGGGAATGCCAATCCTGGTTGGAATGCACCCAATGCAACTCAGAATGGAGATAGGTTCTCAAATCAAAGGGATCGAGGTTCTCATGGTGATCCTGGTTTCGGTGGTGGCAAACCTTGGAATAGACAGTCGTCTTTTGGTGGTGGAGGAGGTGGGGGAGGAGGTTCTTCCAGGCCTCCTTTCAGAGGGCAGAGAGTGTGCAGGTTCTTCGAAAGTGGTCACTGCAAGAAGGGCGCGTCGTGCGATTATTTGCACCCGGACCATTAAGGGAACACAGCAGCAGAGCAGTTACTGTACAGCAATTTCCCATAAAGAGTTTTGACTTTGTATAAACTTTTTTTTTAATCTCCTATTTACCGTAACTTGGGCAGTTTAGTGTATTTTTGCTTCCTTTTATCCAGCTTTTTCATTAAAAGCCTTATTATATGGTAGATTTTCTTCTCTTTTTGAAGTAACAAAAGTTGTAGACTCAGACTACAATCTAGTATTGTATACAAAACATAGTTAGCACAGAGTAATTTGCATTATTATAATAGAAATACAAAATGATTCTCTCTACGTGTGTGTTAGATAGAATTAGTGCAGAAAGAGAATCCCCAAAGAGAGTGGAATTGGTGTAGAAAGAGAATCCTTAAAATGTAAGAGAAAGTGGAAAGTGGGAACCATTCTACCTTCCTATTCTTCTATGTTACTGTGCACTTGATGGTTATTTGTTCAGGCATCCAGATTCTTCTTACAGCCCAATCAGTCTTATCAATCACAATCTTGTGTATGGAGCTAAGCCAAATATTTTCCCTTTGGGTTATTTGTAGCAATGGCCCTTCAATTATACTGAGAGTTACATTTTGGTCACTCAACTCAAATATTAATTACTGAGGTCACTCAACTCAAATATTAGTTACAGAGGTCACTCAATTGAGTGTTGTGTTACACCATTAGTCCATTCCGTCAAGTCTCTCTAACGGTAGGGACTAATAGTGCAACACAACATCTAATTGAGTGACCTCTGCAACTAATTTTTAAGTTGAGTGATCAAAATGTAACTTCGAGTATAGTTAAGGGATCATTGCTACAAATAAGCCTAACTGAAAAGTCACATTTGCCCATCAATAATCTAAGAGATGTTTGTCACGTCATCATTTTAAACAGAAAAAGTCACAGACTTGACGGTAGGGACTAATGGTGCAACACAACAGCCAATTGAGTAACATCTGCAACTAATATTTGAGTTGAGTGACCATAATATAACTTCGAGTATAATTGAGGGATCATTGCTACGAATAATCCTTTCCCTTTTACTGATATATTTGACATTTTGTACATTTTGGTCAACAAAACATAGTTTTTGATTTGTTCAGATACACTTTATTCGGTCAGAGTTTAGATATTTCAATGTGATAAGAGCAGACATGGGCTTAGAAATATTGGCTAGAGTAGATGTGTTTTCCCACTATGCATTGAGTTTGAATCCTTTTTCCCATAGTTTAGATTAGATTAATGTAGAATATCCCTTGTATAAAAAATAAAAAAACTAAAAAAAAATTATAAGTAAAGAAATAGGATTGACCTTTTTGGGGTGATCTTATTATATTATGAATATATATAATTCCCTTCCATTAAAGGTGGGACACCCTTTAGGGTCCCATACCTTTTTTATTTTCAACAATCAAAACCATTTATTTTTCAAGCCTTCATTCATAGGTCATCCTTACAAAAAAAATTAGGCAAATCGAAATGGTTAAGGTATCTAGTGTTGGAAATAACAACTGGGTCTAATTGCTATATTTAATGCATAGAAAATTTAGAAATAATTTATGCAAACTCTTGCTCAAAAGTAATGCATACTTACAAGCACATACAATGCTAAGCTAACATGATATGGATTAGAAAAACCTGGAAATAATGGTCGAGGCAAGTGCTAGGTACTCTGTCCTTAGGACAATTTACACCCCACCATGGTTGATCGGCACTTGTGTCCCAAGATACAACGACCCCATCCTTACAATAGTAGCACTCCAAATCATAAGGCCCAAGCAAACTACGATTGTGTTGAACTCTTTCACATGGACTCACTTATGAGACTCTACAAAGATCTCTATATTGCACTATGTAATGAATACACACACACACACACACATATATATGTAAAATCAGTCTATCTTCCATGTGTAGGTCTTGCCTACTTATGTATGTTGAGGACCCATTTCCCAAAATATGTGACTTTATTTAAAAGGTCAAGTTAACTTAGATGCATTACTTCAAACTTGAAGAGACATATCTCTTCAATTTTAATTTTCATTTAATTTCAGAAAATTCTAATAAATTTTCTAACATCTAGTTGCGACCAACAAAATAGACAAATACAGTATTTCAAGAAAAGACTATAATAATAACCATCTAATTGAGTGGTCAAATGATTTCATATTTAAGTTACTTTTTGCAGAGATCTCTAACAAAATATCTATAAAATTAGACGATTCGGATTATTGAAATACAATGCAGTTGTTATCAAAGGAGGAAGAATGTTTAGCTCCGGAAGGAGTGCTTGTGACTGAAATTCGGCGTCTTCTTTTGGCGTTATCCTCCTGTTTTCGTTTTGCCCCTCGTATTGCCAAAACTGTGGCTCATCGTATTGCACGTTATAGTCTTCGAGCCGAGAAGCTTTGTTATTGGTTGGGTGATGGACCTCCCTGGCTCCTAGATGGCATTAGGGAGGATTTGTCTGACTTTGTAATAAGGGTGTTGACTTTTCTATTTAGTCATTAGCATGAGTGGTGCTCTTTCCTACCCCGAAGTTTTATCCCTTGTGATTTTCATCGAGAAAATTTTAACAATGCCACCATTAACATACTCGTTCTTACTATGTAAACAACAACAAAATTAACAATACGTGGTGGGCCCTAACTTATATACAATATATGAAAAGTGATAAATATATAATTAGCCAAAGTGATAAATAAAATGAAAATACAAGGATATCCTTCCTCAACTTATATACAATATATGGAAAGTGATAAATATAATGAAAATGAGCCAAATTCATGAATCATTTACTCGGTTATTAGTGCTCAGTTTTGCGCCGTCCGATTAGCATCGAACGTCCAGAAGAATCTAGTGCAGATCAAGAGGGAAGTGAAAAGTGAATGAACAACTTGGAACAAAAAAATAGTGAATGAACAAACAACAGACAAGGAACAGAGGAGTAGGAGTAGGAGTAGGGGCACATAACCATAACCAAAATGGAGAGCTTTATGATGATGATATTGAATTGAACCATTGGGTCTCAGAGAGAGCGAGAGAGAGAGAGAGAGATAATAATCTAAAAATCTAATAAATCTTTAATTCTTAGAGAGAGATGGATAAGGAAGGCGAAGACGCACATGGAGGAGGTATCAAAATTCCAAACCCTAACCCTAATCTCAGCAATGGCTCAGCGAAGGGAAAGTCATGCAAGGGTTGCCTCTATTACTCCTCCACACAGAAATCCAAATCCAAATATCCCACCTGCGTTGGCCTCTCCAAAACCCTCCAACAAGGTCTCTCTCTCTCTCTCTCTCTCTCTCTCTCATTTTGATTGCCAAAGTTCATAGACTCTTCAAATGAATTGATGAATTACTTTGATGCATAATTCAAATTGAATCTGGAAGCCAGAAAGATCGGTTCTTTGATATTCTAGTGCTACAACATTCACAGGCTGAATTGATGCCAACATTTTCCCACACAAAAAAAGGGCTCTGTCTTTGTGGAGTATGTATTGTTTATGATGTCCTTGTTATTTGTTAGTATATAATAATTTCTCTTAATTTTCTTCCTGTGTATTTAGATGCATCTGAAATTTATTTGTTTATAGTCATCTATAAGATATGCGATTATTTGTGGATTTATGACCAGTGCCCAGCTACATTGTGGGAGAGACTGAGTTGGAGGCTTCTAAAGCGGACCGCAGCCTTACAGATTTCAAGTATGCTTGCGTAGGTTACTCAGTGTTCCTAGACAGAAAAGATTCTCCTAGTGATCAGCAGAATAAACAAGCGGAATTGCCGTTTTGTGTTGGTCTTGAGGTGTTATATCTTGACTCTATCTTTTTCTTGTTTTCTTGATTTGTAAAGCTCATATTACATTTCATTTTATTCTTAAAGACTGTTTGGAATTTCTCTAGTCGAATATCCATGTCACTTTCCTGTCTTTCCTGTCCTTATGTCTAAGTTAGTTATATAATTATATTGATAATTCATAATGCTTATATTTGTATGTTTATGATCTTCTCATAAACTCAGTTGATATGTGACATAACTAGTTTGTGTCAGGTATTGTATGACAAAAAACCTGCAGGCCATGCTCAGGCTGATGCTCCTGCTCATAAAATTGAAGGTATATGAAGTTTTTCTTTTCTCTGTTTATTTATTTGAAAAGGCTGTGGGGATCTCAATTCACTCTTGATTTGTCGGAATATAGAAAGAATCCATCTTCCCGTATCTTCTTAGTCTCTGATACTAATTGATTCAGTGACTTTATTTATGTACGTATACTTCTCTCTATTTTGTTGCTTTCACCATAAACACCTGAAGTTAGATGAAGTCTTTCTATATTCATTTGCAATGTGATTTTCCTGCATTCATTAATGGATGTTTGGTTACCATCAGACTGAGATCTCCCACTTTTTTCCTTGTTTTGATGTATAATTTATTCTCTTGATAAATGAAGCCCATGGCACTCATGTGGAGTGGGTCCATTTTCATTTGGCTCTCAAATGCTTGGTAAAGTTTATATAATAGCTGTTAGGTCAACATGCTATATGGGATAGATGCAGGGCAAGCAACATTTTGATGAAGTGAGTGGCAGAAATGAGGATACTGAGATGTATGTGTGGGAAGACAAGCAAAGATAGGATTCAAAATGAGCGCATTTGTGAGAAAGGTGAAGTATCACCTATTGACAGGCCAAAAAATAGCATTTAGTAGATAGGAAATGAGAGAAAACTGACTATGGTGCTTTGGAGATTTTGGACGTATTCAATGCAGATCAATATGGTAGTCAGAAAGAGTAACTTAATCAACATAGAGAGTAGTTCGAGGGAAAGAAGACAAATATGATAATATAATTAGGGTGACTTAGATGATAATATGGCCGGACATAGGACGATATAGAGGACCATGATTCACGTTGCCTACACCCAAATAGTTGGGATAAGGCTTTGTTGTTCCAAATGCCTTACTATTAATTAAGTATGTGCTCTATTTGTGAATGTGTAAAGGCAATTAACTTATTTGAAGAACATGTGCCTGCTTTGTTACATCTAAGTATAATATTTGTTTTCCGAATCTATCTGTGTTATTTGTGTTTAGAATATGTATCTGGTAAATCAACAAGCTTATCATGGTATTAGAGCCACAATGTGTAGGTTACCTTATTATACATAAGAACTCTTGGTTGAGGCCACTTGTCACGTGCATGATCACCCACAACAGGGAATCCACTTGAGGAAAAGTGTTGGGCACTAGTTCCACATTGATTGGGCTAAGTGTCCAGTAAAGTTATATATCCCTATTAGGTCTATCCACTTGACAACTTCAGCTTTTGAGAATCATAGTAAACCAACAAACCTTAATATTTAATGTGAATACTTAGTGTTGCAAAATGACTGAATTTTCTTATAACATTCACAGCAACCTTGTTTATAAATTCTTGGTGTGTTTCCCTCTCCAGAAAATGTTCGGCCGATTCCTCAACCCCGAAGCTACAGACCACCACATTCAACAGGAGATGAATATCTCAACAGGTATGGCAGAACTTTGAGTTAGCAAAGAAAAGAAGTTATCCATGACTTTCTTTTTTTCACATGGTTTTGTGTTTGAGTTTTCCAGTTCAGTTTGTTCTTGTTAGACTTTAAAACTCTTGAGTATTTGTATATATGCAGGTTTAAGAGGAATGCAATACTAGTAGCATCAGGTGTTGCTAAGAATGTGAATAGAGTGGGAAACTACATCAAACAGAGTGTGGATGACATTCTATACCCTTACCGTAGAAGGCCTAAGTAACAATTTTGATTGTATAAGTAATTTATAGCATAAAAGAAGCCCAATGCCTGAAATGGCATGATCCCAGTTGTATGATTAAATTGAAATGTTCCTTCCTCCCTCTTTCTTCTTGTATGAACAAATTAATCATCATACGGAGGGAGCGGTTTGTATGGTTTTCGTCTACAAGTGATTTTTGTTACTTGCAGCCAAATTTTTATATAAATAATTATGTGGCTTAGTTGTTTGATCAGGAGTGAACAAGCATTAATCGATTAGTAAGTTAATACGGCTCTGATCACTTTTTTGGTCCACTTAGCAATATAATCTCATAATTTGGACGTTCGGTGTTTTAGATTATCATTCAAAGATCATCTCTTGTAAAAATTAGCCAACATCATTTAATCATTTGATTCTTATTGGGAATATTTTCGTTTGTTTATTTGATCGATCCATACAAACGAACTGTACTAACCAGTCAGTGATAGGGGCCTGAACAAATAGTAGACTATAACAAATAGCATAATAAATTACCTTATTAATCAACAGGGCCGGCCCTGAACAGGAGCCGTCAGTGCAACCGCCCTGAGCCTATTATTCAAGTGCTCAAATGTTTTTTTAAAGTGTTATATTATATTATTATAAAATGATTTAATATTTTTTAGGAAAAAAAAAAAAAAAAAGGATGGCATTTTGGAAGAACGCGCATCCTTTCCGCTCCTCAAGTACCCGCTCCACTCCTCCAGGTTAACATTAGATTTATCTATTCTAAATTTTTCTTCTTCTTCTTCTTCTCCTTCTTCCTCTTCTTCCCATCTCATATCACCTCGTCTAAGCCTCTCCTACTAGTTACAAAGTTGTGAATCCCTAAATTAATTTTTCTATTGGTAGATTGGGGAGATTACAAAATCCTGAGTGTGGACTTCTGTTCAATACAAAATTGATCTTTGTAAAAATCAATTGAAAGTAATTTTTCATGATTTGATATCAAATGAAAAGGAAAATATGATTTTTTTTTTTTTTTTTGTTTTGTTTGTTTTAGATTTGTGAACTCACTTGAGTTGCACATTCTCTTTGCAGGAATTCTTTTAAGTTCTAATTGATTGCAAATTTGGAAAAATCAAGTTTGTTGTTGTGGAGGGGGATTTCTCAAATTCCAAGTTATGTTGTTCTTTGTGTTATTGAGGATGCAAAGACATTTTTTATTTTGCTAGTTGCTGGGGATGCAAAGGGATTTCAACTAGATTAACAATGGCGAAGCCAGTTGAGGCCTAGAAGGGTTAACTGACCTTCCTCCAATTTATGCAACAAATGCATTTGTTAAGTGTTATATTTGATTTTCTTTTATAGATGACCCTTCTAACTTTCGGACTCTAGTTAATTGTTATTCTTTACCTCTATAATTTTTCCTATATTTATCTTTACTCCATTTTTCCTTTTTAACTTCAATCTTTCTATTCTTTCATTTATTGAGTTCTCTTATAGTTTTTGTTATTGAATCGACCATCAGTCAAGTAAATCTCCCAATACTAGCTATTCAGCTCTCTTTTGAACAATGTATTTTGATTTGATTCATGTCAAATTATTTCTTTGTAATTTATTGTGCGATTCGGGTCATGATTTTGGAAGATAACAATTAAATTATACAATATATAAAAAATATTATGTTAATGTTCACGGATTTCTCAGGCTAATAATGTTGACCCTTCTTAAGAGAATTTCTGGCTACGCCACTATAAATTGATGTTGTTTTGCTTTGGCTATTGAGCATGCATAGAAATTTTTTATTTGTTGGTTGCTTGTTGCTGGATAAAAAAAACTTATTAAATTGTTACAAGTATTTATCTTGTTTATACATTGTAGCCTTTTATTTTGAAGTTTGAATTGAAATAATGTATTTGCTTTGAATGTTAAATTTTTTGTTAATGTGAACAGGTTAGATCTTGATTGAAAAATGGAAGTGAGTTCATCACTAAATTTTAAAATATATATATATAGGGACATAATTTTTACTTTTGCCCTGGGCCCTGAAAAACTCAAGACTGGCAAAACGTAAAGAAATAGGCTCATCACTGTTTTAAAAACCAAAGTAGTATTTCACAATCTCCTCAAACTATTCAAAGCGGGCAATTTAACCTGTAACTTGGCACAGCAACAAGCTGAACTGCTTTGGGTGCAGTCAGTCCAAAAACATCATTCATGTCAAGCTCATTAGGGTTCATTCCATCAGGCAACTCCCATGCAAAACAATGAAGAAGATGGGCCACAGCCATCTCCAGCCCATACAGCCCCAATTGCATACCTGGGCACGACCTACGGCCCGACCCGAATGGAAGGAACTCAAAGTCGCTCCCTTTAAAATCGGGCGAGCCATCGTTCAAAAACCTCGAGGGTTTGAATGCTTCTGGCTCATCCCATGCAGTCGGGTCACGGGCAATAGCCCATGCGTTAATATAAACCCGTGACCCGATTGGAAATGAGTAACCAGCCACGGAAGTCTCCTCTGCGGTCTCATGGAGGAGGAGAGGGATTGGTGGGTGAAGACGGAGGGATTCCTTGACTGCACATTTGAGGTAGGTTAGGTTTTCGAGGTCGGTTTCTTGGACCCTACGGTTCAAGCCAACAACATTGATGAGCTCTTGCTGCACTTTTTGGAGATCTTCTGGGCTCTTCATGAGCTCTGCCATTGTCCATTCAATCACTGATGCCACCGTTTCAGTTCCTCCAAACATTACATCCTATGAATGCAAAGTGGATTTTATCACTAAAAGTAAATCAGAAGTGACAGATGGTGATAATTAAACACATAATTTCCATTACCAAAATAGTTAACACAAAATATTGATCTTCTGAGTGAGAAATGAGAATGTGCTTTATTTTATTTACCATAAATTCTGAGTAAATATAGTAAAAAAACACACAAGAAATCAGATTTGTTTCTTTTGATTTAGAAAAGGAAAAAAGCGTTGACCCACCTATTACAAAATATTAATTATAATGTAATCCGCTAGTGAAATTACCTAAATAAAAAAAAATCAATTTTAGATAATTAAAAAAAATAAAAGGCAAACCCCTAGACCGAGTTGGCACCTCAAATAAAGGGCGACAATATTGGAGAACGATGTGATCGGTAGAACGGGGGTTGGTAGTTAATGATAGGACAAACTACAGAAAATTCTCCAGGTCATTTGCGAGTTCATATTCGATTTTGAGGACATTTACCAGTGCATACTCAACGTTACAGAAGCCCTACAATTTGCCCCTCCATTAGTGAAATCGTCAGAAAATCCGTTATCTGCCTATGTGACATTTGTATGACCAATTTTTTAACTGACGTGGACTCCATATAAGAAACAAAATTAATAAAATTAATGAAAAAACAATAAATAAAAATCTAAAAACCCAAAAACATTTTAAAAAATAATAAATAAATAAATAAAAACTCGTCCTCTCCTATTTCCCCTGCCTTCCAGCCTGACCTCCAATCCACCCTCCCCACAGCTCCGCCCCACCTCCATTAGATCTGACTCTCTCCAACCCAGATCAAGTCGCATCTCTCTCTCTCTCTCCCTTCTCTTCTCTATATATCTCTCTCTCTCTTTAAACACTTCCTCTATCCTCCCTAAATTCCAGCATTTACATTTCCCCCAAATCCCAAATTGCACTCTCACAGCCTCCAAGGTAAACTCCAATTCCTCTCGTTCTTCTACTATTTCCGGTTGACCCTCCAACTAACAGCCACGGATTATGAGATCCGCTGTTTGGTTCCGTTTCTGGGATCCTATTTCTTGTCCGTATTTGAAATTTCCCCGGGTTTTGATGTCCTCGGGGAAAAATTGATCCTCTGTTTTGTTTTGTTTACGTTGTTTGGTGATATAAATGGAAACAGGAGTTTAGGAGGGAGCTTAAGATCTGCTTCTGCTTCTCTTGTCTTGGACAATTGGGTTGGTTGGGGTTTGATTGGGTTGGTTGGTTTGTTAGGTGCATTGCCTAGAGATCTGTTGGGTAACTATAATTGGGAGCTGGTTGGCTTTAGGTGTGCTTTAGCTAACAGAAATTTGACCAATATTGTGCCTCTAGATCTACCTAACTCTCCTCGACCTCATCAATGTACGGACGCGACTCGACTTGTTGCTTAGATCTGGGTGGCACAAGGCTGTGTTCGAATAAGAGGTTTGGGGTCTTGCAACCAGATCCTTGATACTCAAAAAGAAAGGAAAAAAAAATCAATCAAAGAACAAGCATGGTTGCAGATCTGTAATTTTGAATCAAAGAATAAAGTTCACAAGCTTGAGTCGCAGACTCGAAGATCAACATTTTATGAACCAAAATGAGACCTTGAGTGACCATACAATACGCCCATGGAGGTGAAACCAAGGGGGAGAGGGAGAGAGATGGAGAGAGATTGCGACTTGATCTGGCTTGGAGAGAGTCAGATCTAATGGAGGAGGGGTGGAGCTGTGGGGAGGGTGGGTTGGAGGTCACGCTGAAAGGCAGGGGAAATGGGAAAAGATGACCTTTTTTTTTCTTTTTCTTTTTTTTTTTGGGTTTTTAGATTTTTTTTTCTTTTATTTTATTAATTTTGTTTCTTATGTGGAGTCCACGTCAGTTAAAAAATGGGTCCCACAAATACTACGTAGGCAAATAACGGATTTTCTGACAATCTCGCTAACTAATGGGACAAATTGTAGGGTTTATGTGATGTTTAATATGTACTAATAAATGTTTCCAAAATCGACTATGAACTCGTAAATGACATATAAGTTGAAGAGTTTTTTGTAGTTTGTCCTTAATAATATTGGGAAGAAAATTATAGTAATGTATTAAAAGGTTTATTAAAAGAATAATTGTTTCCTTTGTTCCGTCGAGGTTCTCTCAAGATTAAAAGAATAATTGTTAATGTATATCTATGTATGAACTGTTTATACATATAAAAAATTCTTTATGCAGGATATATTCTTTAAAGAATGAACACGCACATCAATATTTTAAAAACATAACATGTCAGTATATTTTGCTGACGACAATATCGATATATTATGGATCCTCATTATATTTTCATGTAAGACTTACCATGATAATAGCTTTGATATTGTCTCTGGTGAGCCTAAAGGTAGAATTGGGGTCGTCACTTTCCTTTGCCGCATCATCACTGAAAAAAGCTATTAATTCATCCACCATATCTGTATCAGCTTCATTGTCATCTTTCTTGTCCTTATTTGTATTCCTCTTCGCCATGTGATCATCGATGATCTTATCAATAAACACGTCTAGTGACCTACGAGCCTTAGCCATTCTGTCCTTAAAAGCCTGCGCATGAACCCAACCCAACCATGGAAGAAAATCTTGCATGTTAAAAGCCCCAAAAAGTTTAGAAAATTCCTGCAAAATCTTCACAAACTCTCCTTGCCCTTCATGGGAGCTTGACCCGAACGCTGCCCGATAAGTTATGTTCTTCGTTAGAGTGAAAACCAATTGACCGATATTGACCGGTGAGCTGGTTTTTGTTGCCACATGTCGAACCATCTCATCAACTTCCTCACGTACTGAGTTCCATGACTCTGCCCGTTTCCGACTGAACAGATTTATGACGCAAATTTTGCGCATGCGACGCCAAAACGGGCCGTAGTTGGCAAAAGCCATATCAGCCCGATCATACGTCAAGTATGATATGGCAGCATTTGCAGGCCGATTGGCGAAGGAACTGTCCTGGACTTGGAGGATTTCTCGGGCCACCTCCGGAGATGATACGACCATGATATGTAAGACCCCCATCTGAAGATGGAGAAGCCCACCGTATTGTTTAGCCAGTTGGGCTAAACCGCGGTGTGTGAGTTGGTCCATCATGAGCATGTTCCCAATAATGGGCCACCCTCTTGGCCCTGGTGGGTACGGGAGTTTCCGGCGTAACATGAACAAAACAAAGAAGGAAATGATGAGTAGAAGAAGAAGAATGAACAACATGAGAGAAGATTGCAGGGATTCAAGTGCTTGGTGAAGGAAGAGATCATCCATGGCTTGGTTTGTGTTCTTGAAAATGGGGTTGTTGAGGAGGTTGATATATATATTATGAATTTGATAATATATATATATATATATATATATATATATATATAATGGGATCTGCAGCCTTTATGAGGATTGAACTAATGTGGCAAGTAATTACTGGGGACTTAACTACCATAGAGGATGATCTAATCTCACCAACTCCATTCCCAGTGGGAATTTTGGCTGCACTTGTCTGCACTAAGGAAATATTTGAAATTTGTTTGGATTTTTGTTTTGGTATTGGAATTTCTTTTAATTCGTTTTGTTTTGTATACAAAAGATTAATAAGGATCTATATAAAAGTTCACGTGTATAATATGTGATCTAGGCTGCTTATGTAGAAGTGGAATGTCTTTAAATCTAGAGACTCGGGATTCGTGTAGATATTATTTCCATAACGTATGATTTTTATAAGGAAATTAATTCATACATACCAATTAGCTAGCTAAAACTTGGTCTAACATTATAGTAATACTTAGGGGGATACAAGATTCAATCCAATCCACTCAAACCGACCGATCCAATCCAGTTTAATTCAATTTCAATTGGTTTTGAGGATTTGGCGGATTGAATTGGATCCGTAATTTTTAAAACCGACATGATTGGATCGGATGACGGATTTGCTTATGAGAATCCAATCCAATATAGTTAGTTTTATGCTTATTTTGCCCTTATAGGTATTTGTGATTGAAAATTTTATGAATATTTTAAGTTATTTAATGGAGTTATGTTTAATATATTATATAATCAAAACAATTTTCTCTAGTATTTCATTTATATTTTACATTTACATCTTAATATGTTTGATTAGATTAAACCTAAGGGTACATGTTTAATATTTCATTATTATATTTTTTAATTATCAAAACCAATCATCCAATCCAATCTAGTCCAATATCAATTGGATCAGATCAGATTGGATTTAAACATATAATACGATTGGATCGGATTGAAAATATCACAATCCAATTTATATTGGATTGGATATGGATTGACTAAATTGTATTGGTTTCAAATTGACGTACACCCTTAGTAGTAGTCTATTACCACCTCAGCTTGTGATACTTCTATTAAAAATTTGTCATGTGTCATTTAAGAATAACAATTTATATTTTTTTTTGTAGCTGGACTTGGAATCTAATTATTATTATCCTTTTGAATAAAACTAAGAAAATCAAAAAAGAAAAAAATAATAATAATATTATGCTTACCACATTTGTATACCACCTTATGTGGCAGATGAGGTGGATATACACATCAATTAAAATTAATTTAATATTTTCTTTTATTTTAAGATTTATTAACACTTTTTAATTGATGTAACTGTCTACTTCATCTTCTACATAAGGTGGTAGGAGAATGTAACAAGAGTAGCATCAGTGGCGGAGCCACTCCTAGACCTGGAGTGGCCCTGGCCCCCCCCATATTTTTACCACTCTTCTATTATATTATATATAATATATAGAATTTGTAATAAACAACTTAGAATTGAAGTTAAAATATCCTCTAAAACAAATTAGATATGACTTAATTAGAAATATTTAGCTCTAAACATGTAAGTATTGAATATTTAAGTGTTTTATATACTTATATTTTCTATTTCGGCCCCCTCAACTTTACAATTCTAACTCCACCCTGGCATTACTCAAAGAAAAAAGAAAAGAGCCACCACCCACCCCAACCCATCGTCGACCTCGCACTGCCTTCCCGGCCTCTCTCTCTCTCAATCTCTCTCTCTTCAACAGCTTAATCATTGCTCAATCTTCTTCTCACCCTTTCGGTGGCTAGCCTACGCCAAGACTAGCGATTTTGTCTCCTTTTTCTCACTAATTCGTTAACTTCTAATTTTCAAATTGCCATCACATGTGAAGAAAGTTGGGGTGGGAGGTGTCTGTTAGTAGTAATTGAATGAAACTGGACCCTTTTCAATGCTGATGGGTATGGGAGTTTTGGGCGTGACATGAACAAAACAATCAAGAAAAAGATGAGTAGAAGAAGAATGAGCAACATGGGAGCAGATTGCAGGGATTCAAGTGCTTCGTGAAGGAGGAGATCATCCATGGCTTGGTTTGTGTTCTTGAAAATGGGGTTGGTGAGGAGGTTAATATAAATTATGAATTTGATAAGGTGAAAAGAAAAGGATGAGGTTCTTATATAATTAAAATGTGATCTGCAGCCTTTATGAAGATTGGGCTAATGTGGCAAGTCATTACTGGGGACTTATTATATTGTTTGGTATACAAAAGATTATCTATATAAAAGGTCAGATGTATAATATGTGATCTGGACTGCTTATGATGTAGACCTTAAATTCGGAGAGACGGGACCAGTGGTCCACTACTAATAATATCGATATTGTCCCCAACTTAATTATCTTTAAAGTTCAATAGATGTGAAGTTTTATCACAAAATGCCTCGGTGATATTAGTAGTGGAACCTTTCATTATATATTGTATTTTATTTAGTCATGTCTTCAATATGGAACTTATATTCTTCAACAGTGGAGACTTAGGATCCGTGCAGATTTTATTATTTGCATATCATACGATAAATTTCATAAGAAAATTAACTCATGCATACCAATTAGATAGCCAAAAATTGGTTTAACATAATTCTTTTATATCTCAATGTTAGAAAAGGGTCACATTCAAATCCCTCCTTCGATTAAAAGACACTACTAGGTGCCAAAAAAAAGAGAAGATAATAATAACAAAGCGATGCAAAATGCACCAAAAAAATTATGTACTGACAATTATGAGAGGTTAAATCTTGTAAGGGTCAATAGGAATTTGCTAACGTAAGGTTTGCACAAAATTGCATGTTTATACATCTGGTTTTAATTTGAACACTTTAGTATCTTTACGTAGTAAAATTTTGAAAATGTAGTTTTGCTGTTAGGCTAACCGTGAGGAGACATGTGAATTAATTGAGAATCGTGACGAGTTGAAGACAAGGAACCATGATATGTGATTTAAGTTTTTAATGGTTTTATTTAGCTAATCTTTGGGAATTTAAATTGCGATTGTGTTGGGAATTAGAGTTTCTAAATGCTAATCTTAGGTGATTATCATCGATTGTCGGGTTGCTTGTTGGCTAATGATATTCGATAAAGGGTATGTGAAGTTGGTCACGACTGCCATGCCTTCAATGATGGACTTTATGTTAGGAAATGGGGTCCTTCATCTCTTAGACGGTGAGCTCATGAGACTCCACTTAGAGCCGACCTTGCCATGAACTAACAATAAACATAACCCCACCTCACGAACATACTCCCAAATCAAATTTCTTTGGTGCTATAATCTTAATCCAATTTCATGATCAGAGTTACGGGAAAATCAACTATTGTCCTTCTCAGACCAATTCATATGATTGACGTGTAACGTGTAACATGTTGACTCAAAGAATTTCACTAACATAGCAAGTCAATACATATTGAAGAGATATACTAAACTAAATGAGCTTCATTGAGTGATCAGAGAACGAGCATTGTTCCAAAAATAAAAATTAAAAAATTTACTTAATCAAAACAATGTTGGAAAATTTTAACAAAGCAATTAGCAAATTATGTACGTAAAATAATTTGGAAAAACGAATGAAAAAGGTGGCCAAAGTTACAATACCTCCAGCCACATCATACATTGCTGATACAAGTGTTTAGGGATATGCAAGAACAGGCGACCAATCAGCTTTGCCGCTGAAAGTGCTTTTCCTTGTCGTGCTTTCCCTGTAAGAACTAAACTAAGATTTCAGAACCAGAGTATCCTGACAAATAAGAGTGATTGCAGACTGTATCATTTATTTCCTCGTTTGCCTCTGAAATATGGCAAAGGGGAAAGAAAACAAGGCCAACTGTGATTTGGCTTTTCACAATCTCACATTTCCATTCATTTAACTGATTGTTCTAGCATCAAATTGCCATGACCAGAGTAGCTATAACCCTGTAACGGATCTAGCATCACCTTGCCATGAAAAGAATAGTGACCGTTGAGTTTCTCTGTCACATTTGACCATCAAAGTAGCTATAATCCTACAACAAAATACGAAGTACAGCGAGACCAACTGCAGATATGGAGACAAGGGTTCCTATGCAATATTTGATCACGTCGTACTTTGCAGCTTCCAACTGAGCTCTTAATGTATGAATTTCCTGTAAACAAGGTTCAAACAAAGTTTAAATAAAATTCAATGTTATAATCAATTGATGCAAACAAGAAAACTTCCAGTGCAGTAATGGTGCTCACTCGGTCAAGTTTGTTTGTGAGATTGGTGGTTTCTGCATTTTGGTTGGCTAGCTCATCGCGTATGCGCCTGCACTCAGGCATCAGTACTAATTATAACAGTACCAAGAACCAAAAAAAAAAAACTCCTGAAGATTATAGATACATTAGTACAGAGAAAAACAAAAGTTTGCTTACCCTCTTTCAAGATTTAGATCCAAGCGTTGCCCGGCTGTAACTTTGTCAATCTCGTATCTGTTTCAGGAAATAAAATATTTGAGCTAATAACACAATAAAATATTGAAAAAAATAAGTTACGAGCCAATATGCCATCTGATGGTAGAAACCACAAACGTTATACATCATAAGACATACCTCAATTCACTACGCATCTTCTCTATGTCACCCCGAAGTTTTTCAGTCTCACGTTGCAACATCGAAAAATGGTGCTCCTACGTAAAGTTGTGGGTTAATTAGAATCAACACAATGATATTGGTCCCATATAAAGTACTATTAAGAATGTACTACTATTAATGATTATTTATTTTGGTCTTATATAAAGGAGTATTCAGAATATGATGCTTCATCAAAAGTGTTTACCAGAATCCTAAAACCATCACATGCATCTAGCACTGAATGTGAACATAAGATATAAATACGTTGATAAAAGAAATGCATGGACTTATTCAACTCATTTGAAGTGGAAAGGTGCTTGAACGGGCATTTTCCAGGTCTGGAAGGACATACGGCACAAATGTTTACAGATTTAAGGTCCTTGGTCTCTTGAAGGGATTTTGTTGTTGAGCAGGAAGTTCAAATTAGAAGTGTGAATGGCACCTCTACTACTTCCTCATCTATGCAAGCATATCAAGTCAGTTTTCCAAAATGAATTCCCTGATTTATTATGAAGCAAGAAATGCGCTTCATTGAGCATTTCACGATAGAAACCTTCATGAGAATATTGATTAGTTTAGTCAACCCTTGGAAGAAACAGGTCAATTTTCTGATTATTCAACGAAAGGTGACAGCACGTTGGGATCAAACCTATCCCCTGCAAATCCTGCTGTGAAAACACTTGCTAATTTCCATATTTTCAATTCTCCCTAACAAACTCAAGTCAACATAGCCTTCCATCCGGCCACCTTCAAATCTACCCATGAAAAGACCACCGTATGTTTTCCTTTTGTTTCAAGGTTAACCATCCAAAAATAGAAACCGGTAAGTATTTTCCCCTCGACTTAAGGTTTTGGATGACATGCATGCATCTGTACATTTAGTTTTGTGCAATGATGTGAAAGGCAAAACAAGCCCAAGCTGATCGTGGTCAACAATGCTCAACGTGATTTTGTCACATGTCAATATCAAGCCCACCAAAACCCCCTACCCCACACTGAGATTGCATTAAGGAGTAAATAAAAAAATTTATGGCAGAAAACGACTAAGCTAGTGATAATAAATTTCATTAAAGACTAAACCAAAAGAATAACTTTTAAGAAAGAATAACTTTTAAGAAAGAAGGATGGAGAAATCTGTTAGAACCTGTGAGCTTTTTACTTCAGACTTAAACTTGGACAGGTTTGATTCTTGTAGCATTCCAGCCTACAAACACCAAAGAAAACGCATCAAAACTACATACAAGATTCGCCGTAAAAACATCGAACACGATGCGTGCAACTTCTAAACTAACACCGCAGCTAAAACTTCATTGAAGCAAATCAACAAACAGTTGGAGAACAGTTTTACCTTCTGCATTTCCGCTTTGGAAACAAAAGCATGAGCCACATTCTCCAAGCTATCGTTCAGAACTTCAGTGATCGCAGCTGTGATCGCCTCCGCCTGCTTCGTCGGCACGCCTTTGGCCTCTAAACCCCTCACCAGAGCCAACGTGTCCACGAGAAACGCGCGATTCCCATTCGGTTTGACCAGTCCCGAAATCTGCCTGCTGAAGAGCCCAAATCCATTGTTGCTCGTCGAAGAAGGCGAGTAGAGGTTTCGTCGGAAGCTGGCGAAGAGAAACGCGGAATCGGCACCGGTTTGAAGCACGCGCTTGCAGAGCGCCATGTATTTGTTTTCGATTTACAGAGAAAGTTGTCGAAACGTTTTGTTTGGGCAAAGTATTTGAAGTGAGAGAGGCGGCGAAAAAACGTGGTTGGATGGGTGGCGTTTTATTATGCGTTCGTTTGTTCCGCGGTTGCGTGCGCGAAAAGCACACGGCCTGCGTTTATATCTCTTCTTCTCGGTCTTTGGTCCAGCACGTCTTAAGCGTTAGGGCCTTGCCCAAGTCAAGTCTAGTAAAGTTAGCAAAAGGCCGCGTATTACAAAAAAGGTTTTTTTTTTCCTTCTGAAATTACTATTTTACTTTTTTTTTTAATGGCTACTGTTGTCTCATTTTCTAGTTTTAGCCTTTAATCCTATAAATTTTAAAAGATGCGACCAGGTCAGGTGGGTATCTCATTAGGCCATCTCCAGTTATATAGCTAAATGTAGTTCAAGACTAAACATTTAGCCCTCTAAAATATTAATTTTTTAAAGAATAATGCAGGGCTAAGTTTTTCCATATTCAGTCATGCAGGGTTATATTTTGGAGTCATTTATATTTTATTATTTTGAAAAAAACTATGGTACAACACTCATACATTCCACAACTATATATTGTTTAATTTAATTAAACTACTATTTAGAGACAATATTCCATATATGTGACCACATTTTAAAAAAGAAAAAAGAAAAAAAGGGTTTCAATAGTCTGATCTTCAACGGTCATGACCAAGAATTTTTTATAATTTTTTTTAAACAACACTTGAAAACATTTAAAAGGTGACCACATTTTATATTAAAAAAAAAGAGGATCGGTTTCAATGGTCATGACCAATAATTTTTTTATACTTTTTTCTTAAACAACACGAATTGAAACATTTAAAAAAGATTTTAAAAATATATATGCTTTAATGTTAGTTGTTGAAAAGCAAATGCAGGAGGCCCACAAAAAATTTGGCCTAGGCTAAAGATGGGCTACATTTGGCCCGATTGGAGGGCTAAAGGGCCAAATGTGGCCCTCCAAATTTGGCCAAGATTTTGTTTAGCTCATGGCTGGTGATGGCCTTAGTAACTAGTCCTTTTGAGGTATAGCACCGAGGTTGCGTGCGCTTCTCTGGGTCGTGACAAATGGTATCAAAGTTAATCCGGTGAATTATACAATGTGGCTCAAGGCACAAGTGTGGATCTTGACAAAAATTCAGCATAATTAAAAGCATGGTATGGATGCCCTTATCTGCTTATAGTGTGTTTGCTGGGTTGTCTATTTTTCTAGATGCTAGTTCTCCTTGATAGCTTTTGATATCTTGGTATCATCCAGCAAAGGGTTTCCCTATACAATTACTAGCAGCAACAATTGGCTCCATTAACATAACCTTTTGTTTAGCTAGACCGTATATAGTTTGAGCTTTTCGTTCTTAGGAATTTTGTGGGTTCATTCATAGTGTCGTGTAGAGCAATACCCAAATCATGGTTTCTTCCTCATGTACCCCACCTTTGGCAGTGGCACATCAAGAACCCCAAGATATGGGTAACTAAATCACCGAAAAGATGGTGGGCCACTAAGTCCATTGAAGACCCATTGGGCATTAAGATCTCTTTGCTCTGACAACTAGTTGAGGTTAAGTAGGGCCGAATCAAACCAATGTATTAACTAGTTTGGTTCAGTTTTTAACACTCAAAGAAGTGTAATTTTGGAGCAAATTGAACTAAATAGTAATTAGTTTGGTTTGATTCGGTTTGTTCCATACGAAAACCGCATTAATCAAACTAAATCGCTTATAGTGTCCCCTTTTATGGCACTTGGCACTTTTATTGGCTTTTATCATTTATTATGATGCTTCGTTGATATCAACCTTTAATAAAATTAGATTGTTTGTTTCATTTATGAATGTTGATTATTGGTAGTGTAGGAACACATATTTTGCTTGCCAATAAGAAGACGACGCATGGAAAATGAATATTCCTTAGGTTAACTAATTACTCCAATCAAATTCTATTTAATTCGGAAAATTATCTTTGATTTAAAATATGAATATCTCCTTAAATCAAGGAACCAATTTCCACTAAATCTCTTAGAGTAATTCTTATCTTTTTGGGAAAGAATAATCCTAACCAAATAAAGATTATTCTCTCAAAACTCTAGCACACAAGTAGACTATAAATACATATATACACAAGGCATTCAAGGTAATTTTTCACATGTCAATTTCCACACACACACACACACACACTCTCTCTCTCTCTCTCTCTCTCTCTCTCTCTCTCTCTCTCTCTCTCTCTCTCTCTCTCTCTCTCTCTCTCTCGGCCCCTCTTCTTCTCTCTCCTCACACGGCTAAGCGCCACCACACACGACTCCGGCAACCCGACTCTCACCGTGAGAGAAAACTCCATCCATTTTAGCTATTGTCGTATCTTTATCAAGATCCAATTGAACTTAGGCATCGGAGGGTCTTTGGCCAACACTCCTCGGGTGTGGTCTATTTACTACTATTTATTTTGTAGGGATTGAGAAAGAAAGAGAATGAAGATCGAAGGTCGAGGAATCAACCTGTGAATATTCCCCGTGCGAAATTTTGCTCAAACAGGTAGGAACTTAGAGATTTAGAGCCCGTTTGATAACCATTTCAATTTTAGTTTTTATTTTTTATTTTTTGTGCTAGAATATAGATGAAAAAGAGGGAGAATGAGAGTGAAGATGGAATCGAGAGGAAAGAAGGGAGAGAGGAGTAATAAAAGTAAAAACAAAAATAAAAAACTGAAATCTATTTGAAATTGTTCACTTTCAAGTTTTTATTTTCACTTTTGTTACTCTTCTCTCCCATCCTCTACTCTCATCCTCACTCTCAATTTCTTCTATACTCTACCATAAAAAATGAAAAATGAAAACTAAAAATTAAAATAAAATATGGTTATCAAACGAGCCCTTAGAAATTAGAACAGTGAATGCAATGTTGGCCTTATGTGTTTGAAATGGTTAAGATTGTCGAAGTTGACGATTTGGCTTCATAAGGTTATAAGAAGTAAGAAATATTCAAAGTGTTTATTTCAACTTAGTTATGTTTAATTAGACACGACTATTAGATCGGAAAGTGTGAAAGTGAAACACACAAAATATATATATAATAGTTCTCTAATGCAGACGTCCATAGTTTTCTTAATGTCCGGATATGCTTTTTTTTTTTTTTTTCATTTGTAGTGCTACTAAATCAACTCAAGAACTTATATATCATCGTATTCGTATGTCAGTGCATAAGAAGTATAAACACATGTTGCACTTTGTTTTGGGCTTTCAATGGCAGATGCCTTTGTAATTGGTGTTCCACTATGTTGTTTCATCTTAATGTAAGTTGTGAGTTATCTAAACAAGTAGTTGGATGCAAGAAAACTGGTTAATGCATCACATCCGTATATTAAAAGCTATAGGGATGTCCACACTCATATATATAGCCATTAAAGGATCTATCAAATAAAACCCTTTAGGATATCCTATGATTTTTTTTTCAACGATCCAAAACGTCTAATTTTCAAGTCTTCATTCATAAATCATCTTTGTAAAAAATTAGGCAAATTGAAAATCATTAAGGCAGCTATGACTAATAAAATAGACGAACACGTTACTTCAAGAAAAGATAATAATAATAACCATCTAATTGAGTGCAAGGGCGGAACTAGGAATTTTTCAACGGGTGGGCTAGCTAAAGTTATTAGCTTAAAATTTAATGATTATTTTTTTTGGTACTTACAATTTTTATAGTCTTTCTAGAAATAAAAGTAAACATTAAATCATATAAACCAAGCTAGTTCATAGCTCCATAGACTAATTTTCAATAAGTTTTAACATAAACCAAATAGGGTTTAACACCATAGTGGATTGAACATCTAAGACTTTTTACCTAAATTGACCTTAGGTTCCTTCATGCATTCATATCATACATGAAAAGTTGTTTTATGTAAAAATATTGACTTAAGTATGAAAAATGGGTTTTCGGAATAATCATTTTCTCAAGATAATTTTTGGTGACATTTATTCCTCACACATCAAATAAGAAAACTTGATTTTATGTGGTTTTAATATGAAGTATATATTGATTTAATGAGCCATCATTTTTAGCCTAAAACCGAATTTTCATATTCTGATTTTGTGGGAATTTGATTTTCTAGTATTTTTATTTGAATCCAAATAGGGGGTACTTCCTTATTTACATTGTAAACTTAAGTAAATGTCTTTGTCATTTTACCATTTACTTAAATGTTGAAAATGGAAATAAGGTAATTTGTATAACGCCACTGACTGGGCTAATATTGAAAATAAGTTAAATATGTAGGTTTTATATTATTATTTTTTTCCTTAAAAAACCATATTAGGCTATAGCCCACTGTAGCCCGTGTGGTTCCACCCTTGATTGAGTGGTCAAATAGTTTTGAATTCAAGTGATTTTTTGCAGAGTTGATCTTTGAGGGAATATCTAAAAACTTAAATATTCGGATAATTGAAATACAATGCATAGTGGACCCTACAAGGGTGTCCTTATTTAAGGAATCCCTCAACTGAAGCTCTCTATATGGACCTTAGCCACTAAAAAGAGAGAGTATTGATCTTAGCCAAATCTCTTAAACCAAGCCGTCCAACAATGATTTGGTTTGCTTTGATTTATCCTCTCATTTTAACTTATGGCATGTTTACTAATCAGAAATCGAGATAAGCAGGAATTAGAGTAACCATGAATCATGTTAAGCAAGAATCGGGTTAACTAAGAATCGAAGGCATGCATTCCAATTGTTTACTAACTATAAGGAATCGAAATGAAACTAGAGTTCATTCCCATTAAAATGTTTACTATCCATCATGAATTGGAATGAAAAACATTTTGATTACGAAAATGCCTTTAAACAAAATATGTTTTTCTATCCAAAGACTACTACAATTTTTCGTATGAAAATAATTAGATTTGTGAGGGGTATTTTTTGCATGAAAAACTTGATTTCCTTTTACCCTTCTCCAATTCCACCTCTATTCTTTGGAATCAAATCTCTTCAATATCAGGAATCAGAAATGAAATTTATTATGGACCCCATGTTACTGTTCATTCCACCTCGTGTAAGCAAACAAAGGAGCCATCCAGAAAGGGAATGACTCCTATTCTACCAATTCCTATTCC